AGTCTTAACCCATTCCAGCATCAACTCTAAAGCCTGAAACCAAAGTTCATTTAACTACTATCTAAATCAGAAGTAAGACTCAAGGTCCAGTTTCTCCTCAGGCAGAATTGCTCTCCAGCCAAGAACCTGTGAAGCTGGACAAGCCCTGTGCTCCTAAAATACAGCAGTGAAGAGGCACAGGATGGAACTCGTGTGGTGAAAGGCAGAACACAGAAGGGAGAGACAGGAGACGGGTCCCATGCAAGTCACACAGCTGGCAAAGCAAAGCCCCTGAGACCTGGAAGCCTGGGGACAATCCTCTCTGGCTCTCTGCTCTGCCCACGGGCCCTGCCTCACCCCCAGCTCTGCAGTGGCCCCACCCTTGGAAACCCAGGAGGAGGCAGCCCTGCCCTGGGCCTGGGAGTGGCAACCTATGACCTCTGAGTCACCCCCAGTCACACTCTCCCCATTCCGGAAAGATGAAGCATGCTGGCGGCTAGAGAGGGCCACCTCCCGTCCTGTTCTCCTGCGGCCACGCTGACAGTGTCTCTGCAAGCTGGTCCCGTCCCCACTCCTGGCCTCTGCTGAGGAGGCTTCCTGGATGGACTCCTGGTTCCCGCCAGTCTCCCTGTCAAAGGGTCGTTCTGCTGCATGCAGTGTTCTGTCCAGAACATTTTCTCAGTTTCTGTAGTGTGGATAGACTGAGAATTCTCCAGATCTGCAAGTTCTGGTTCCTTTTCTCCTGACAGTTCCTTCGATGCATCTCCCCTGACGTTTCACTGTACGCAGTAAGGAGAGGCAAGGCTTCAACACTTTGCTTAGAAATCTCCCCAGCAAAACATCCCATGTCATCACTCAAGTTCCACTTTCCACAACGTCCTTGCCATTTTATAACAAGAGTCACTTTCCTCACATTTCCAGGGCACGTTCCTCACCAGCGTCGGCTTTCACGTTCACGCTTCCACCAGCGTTCTGTTCACGGGATGCGTGTGTTTTCTACGCCCACAGCCGCTGTCCCTGCAACGCTTTTCTCCCAGAGCCCCCACCAACAATGGCTTTAACACCCACGGTCCTACCAACAACCACTTCACAGCCATCGGGGCTCTTTCTAGGGCCCGCCTCAAAACTCCTCCAGCCGCCACCCGTCAGCCAGCTCCAAGCCACTTCCACATTCTTAGGTATGTGGTAGGTGGTGCAGGGCACCCCACTTCTCTGCGCGGGCTGCTTATAATAAAACACCACCGCCTGGGGGCTTCAACAACAGGAATCAGCTTTCCCACGGTTGTGGAACTAAACGCCCGTCATCAGGATGCAGCTGGTTCGGCTCTGGCGAGGGTCGTCTTTCCGGCTTGCAGACAGCCGCCCTCTCCCTGTTATGTCCCGGCCTTTCTCTGGGGCGTGTTCAGCACAGGGTGAGAGACGGTTCCCTTAGGTCTCCTTTTGGAGAACCCTGGTCGTATCAGATCGGGCCACATCCTCACAACGTTGTTTAACCTTAATTTCTTCCTAAGAGGCCCATCTGCAAATACAGCCACACTGGGAACTAGGGTTTCACTGTATGAATGGGTGAAGGGGCGAGACAGACTCCAGTCCGTAAGACCATCGTCAAGGAAAAGGCAGATCTTCGCTGGACGCTGAAGATCAGCGTGATTTGGTTTAGGGACACGTAACTTCAGGCCTGGGTTTACAGGGTCACTCACGGTCTCAGGGAGCACGGAACTTTTCACTTCTAGCAGCCGTGGATTCCGCAGCTCCAGACCCCAGGAGCCCTCATTGCGCTGTGGGGCCTGTTCTTGCCCACCCATGTGGGGTGAAGCGGATGGGCACACTCAGCCCAGATGGGTTTTGGAGCCAGGATGGACACAGGTGTGCAGTGAAGCACGGCGGACGCAAAGCAACGAGAGGGCCCTCGGTGCCGCTGCGGGTGATGAGCCGGAGGAGCAGGGAGCAGAGGCATCCTGACGGGAAAATCCCCAGGCTTCCAGAGCAAGGTGTGCTGCCTGCTCTCCGCCCTGTGTGGTCTCTGGGACTGTTCTACTCCGCACTTCTGTCCACAGCAACAAGAACGCGCACCTCCGTGCCCCGCCAGCGCTCCCGTCCCCATGTGTGGAGGCGAACACAGCTGCGTGCCAGGCTTGGGTAGGCTCCACGCCTGAGGGTCTCCACTGCCGGGCACTCTTAGCCATTGACTGCAGGGGTCCTGCGAAACGAGCGCCCCCAGGGAGCTCTGGGAGGGTGGCCTGACCCACAGCTGGCCTTCAGCCCCCAAGGCGGGGCTTCTGGACCCTTCCCAGCCAGGGTTAGGGTCCCACGTCCCAGGCTGTGACCCGTACTGGGCCTAGAAGGGGCCCAGCTCCCCTCCCTGCCCACAACAGGAGGTCAGAGGGCACTCTCAAGATGGCAGCGTGACTGTCTCCTCCACACCACCTCCCTCCCTCCCTCTCCTGTGCCTGACTTCCCCTGGTGCGAATAGGGAATCGCCAAGAGTGGAAAATGCTTACCTTAACAGTCGCCCAGGAGAAGGGAAGAAGCAGAGGGTCTTATAATTTGAAGTGCCAGTCAACAAACAAAAATAAAACAAACCCACTGCATTCCAGAAATCCACGAAGGAAAACATTAACATCACAAGCAAATGCTCAGGCCATCATCACCCTTTGAGGTGAAAGTTTTTTTTCATATCCTTCCCAAAGGCAACTTTTTATGGCAGCCTTAGTGAAATTGGCTTACCCATCTCTAAGCCAGGAGGCATAGTTTAAGATCCAACTTTCATAGCCCGACTTGCTTCTAATTACACAGTGGAAATGACTTCAGAAAGGTTTTTACAATTTCCTCTAACATGTACAGCCTGAAGGGGATCACAAAATTCACAATCCTTGGTAGCAAAATCAAGAAGTTGGCCAGGTGTGGTGGCTCATGCCTGTAATCCCAGCTACTTGGGAGGCTGGGGCAGGAGAATTGGTTGAACCTGGAAGATGGAGGTTGCAGTGAGCCAAGATCATGCCATTGTACTCAGCCTGGGCAACAGAATATGACTCTGTCTCAAAATTTTTTAAAAAAAGCAAAAAAGAAAAATCAAGAAGTTGATTGTGTTCCCTGACTGTGAAAGCTGCAGCACTCTCATAAGCCAGCAGCCTCCTGAGAGTCACTGCAGCTGTAGCAGAGGTGGATGCCTCCCAGCAGGGCAGCAAGAGACATGCGGGGCCCTGTGCAGGACGGCCATCCAGTGCCATCACCCGGGCTTGGGGTGGGCAGCAGGATGGGAAGCTCACTCGCTGGCAGGTTAAGAGGAACCAGGTGTCCAAACTTGCTGGAAACATCAGCATCGAAGACTTTCTGAGGCTAAGCCCTGGCCTGGCTGGGCGCAGCGGGACCTGCGCAGATGGAAATGACCTGGCCTCTCCTCCCACCTCCCAGCCAGAAGGTGAGGCTGTGCCGTGTCCGTGGGAGGACGGCAGACACATCAGGTCTTCAGCTTGGGACGAAGCCTCCCTGCCGGCTGCCCCAGCCCTTCCTGCGCTGTCCAGACGTGGGGGCTGCCAAGCCACACTGCCCCAGCCATGAAAAGCGTGTCCCAGAAGGCAAACCCGGGAGCCTGCCCTCCATTCCACGCTGGTGCGCACCCCACCACACCAGACCACACCAACTGCACCACATCTTAATCCTCGTGGAAAAGCCGCCATCCTGCACTCACAGCAAACCCCCAGGTCTCACAGGTAAACAGTCCAACACCACCCAGCGGCCCTGGGCACCAGAGGCCCTGGCTGGGGATGAACATAAATATAAAATTAATATTTTCAGCATAAAATTAGAAAGCCTGGAACATAAAACTAAAACTTGCTGTGACCTCATCACTCAGATAAGCTCTGTTAACATTTTGTGGGGTTTGATTTTCACTGGGGCTGGGGCCGCCAGGATGCTGGGAAGACCCTCAGCGTGAGGCTGGCACCGGCAGGACACGGCGCATTATGCTGAGGTCACCGTGGCTTTCCTTCCTGTATCCCATGGACCGCATCCTTCCCTGGGGGTGTCTGAGGGTACGCAGGGGCCTGCAGAGGCCCGGGCACTGAGAGCCTCTCACATGCCGAGACAGACACCCTCCCCGAGAGGAGGTCTCCACCCTGACTCAGAACTCAGAAGACGAGGTGCCGGGCACAACTGCCACGTGCTGCTGATGACACGCTTTGAATTCTAAAAGTGGTGCAATCAAACTACGTGTGGGCATGTCACCCAACACAGAAGCTGGAAGCAGCTTCTCTCCCACCCTCCCGCAATGCCAAGGCCCCACGGTCTACACCTCGAGTTCTCTGAAGAGATCCCAGCTCCCAGGGCAGCAATAACCGGAAATCTAACAAAATGCCACACTTCCAAGGACAGACAGAGCACAGGCCTGGGGAGGCCCCACCAGAGAAGCAGGAGTCCCAGAAGCCCCTCCCCACGGAGGGCAGCCCCAGTAGCTGCGTCTGGGGAGGGTCTGGCATGGGCAGGGGGAGGCACCCAGCACCCCAGGGCAGCCCCCGAGTCCTACCTCAGCCTCCTGACCATGCCCAGCCCTGCTCATCCACCAAGCCAACCCCCATTCCTGGGAGCTGGGGGCTGTGGGGAAGCCCCAGTGAGGCCTGGCAATGGGAGGAACAGCCCTAGTCCCTCCCACAGGAGCTGGGCAGCTTCAGTGAACCCAGAACCAGAGGCGTAAACTGGCCCATCCCAGCAAAGCGGGGTGAGACTCCCACCCTGAGAGTGTCGAAGACAGCCAGGGCCAGACCCGGCCCCAGGGAAAATCCACAGCCCTGCCAGCTCCCAGCCAGGGGCCAAGTCTCCAGGTGAGTCCGGGGGCACCAGGGAAAGAAGGGAGTGCACATGGTGCAGCCCATCAGACACACTTCACCAGGCCACGCAGGCCGCAGGAGGACCCTGGGGAGACCCAGCTGGACTCAGAGGAGACACAGCTGGGCACAGGTGGGATCCAGGTGGACCCAGGAGGCCTGACTCAGTGAACAGGTGGGCAGAGGTGAGACTCCTACCTTGGAAGAAGCTCTTCACCCGGAGGTAACTGACACTGAGGCGCAAGACAGAAAGCTTGTCCAGCTTGGAGATGATGTCAGGTGGGAATGGCAGCAGGCTGGCCAGGTGGTCCAACTCAGCGTTGAGGCGGTCCCGGTGCCGCTTGGAGGGGTTGGACTTCTCCACCCCCAAGGCAGGCCTCCTGTGGGGAAATGGCCTGGGTCAGATGGGCTTCTCCAGCAGAACTGTTCTCTGCAGTCACCTTACTAGGAACATCTAAGCTGCCCCCAGGATAAAAGGTGGGAAGAGGCCGAGAGCTCGCCCATGCCTCAAGATGCTGACATTAAAACCCACAGCACACACCACCAAAGTACAGCTAACCCATGCCTAAAGGGACACTAAAACCCACAGTGCACACCAGCAAAGTACAGCTAACCCGTGCCTAAAG